TGGGAAAAACCCAAGTAAAGTAACTTCTGTTAAAGATAAAATACAGATTTTTTTGTCACCTAAGAGTGATCTAATAACACTTAAATGAAATGACTAAAATTATTGATATGCTGAAATCCTTGAAAAAAAAATTACATAGTTGTCATTTTCTTAATCTTGACAAAATGTTGCTTCATGGATTTAAATTTCTTTGGAAAGCTACTTCAATGTGAGATATACATCTTTTTTGACAGTCATTGCTTTACCATTTGAATTTAAATATCCATCTGAAGTGAATCTTGTAGCAACTGCATTTGATAAAAATCTGATGTTTTTTTTGCTGCCCTGTAGTAGTTGGACTGAGGTTATTCTGTAATTATTTTCTGATTCTCATATGATCTCAAATCAAGAAACAGGGCAGAGCAGCTTACATGACACAAACCTCTCTCACACTTTGAAGATAATTGTCAAGAACTTGTCATGTTCTTGGCACTGATGGCTGGCCTATTTGCTCAATCCATTCACCTAACTCTGCCTGCTTGTTCATTACTGCATATCTTATCCACTTGTTGCTGCTTCTATTTATATGAATCAGTCCCAGCCATCATGGCCAGATTATCTGATGCTGATACTCTTGTTCATGTTCTCATTCTCGGGCGCCAGTGGAGAGAGGGTTTTTAGCATTCTATAGTGTTTCTGATTTCCTGATCCTGACCTGTCTCTCGTCCATTGATCACGTCTGTTCCTGTTTGGTCTCAGTGGAGAGAGCTGTTCTTTAGCGTTCCGCAGTATTCCTGATATCCTGAGCTGTTCTGCCTCTCAACGACTGAGCCTGCATGTTCCCATCTAAACGTTCTGCCAGAACTGTTTGTAGACTCATGGAAAGCTGAACCAGCCTGTTCCTGTTCTCATCGGTATCCCTGACTGGGCTTAAGACTCCTAGACCTCTGAGCCTTCCTGTTCTGAACTGTTTACCTGACCTGACCTGGCTCTGACTCTGTTCTACAGGCCTGCAGCATCTGGGACACTCTGGGTAGCACCCACTGCAGCTACTTGGCAGCCTGCCGGCTGGATGCAACTCCTTCTTTAGAGACAGACTAAACTATTAAACCAGAGTTTCCAGTGATGGGTGGTACCCTGCCCAAGCCACTAATACCGCGGAGCCACAGCCCGCTCCTGTATATAAACGCTTTGAATTATCCCACTGTCTGTCTCGCTTTGAATACTGGGTTTTTCTGTAGTGTTTTGTGACAGAACAACTTTAGGTAATTCATTTTTTTCTAAGCCATGCAATTAAAATATGTAACAATTAAAACATTTGTCTATGCGCCTCAATGTAGGTAGTGATGACAGGATCATGGGAAGTAGACATTCAACACCAGAAGTGGTACCAGAAGTCAAGTCTTTTGGGACTTCCAAAGCCAAAGACAAGTTAACAGATCAGTTCAGAGCTTGAAAGAATATAACAGAAAAATCCATTTAAATGTCAAAGTAACTCTAAAAACTTACCTTTAAGGGGAAAGATCTATTACATTAATTAAAACTTTGCTCTTTATAATAAACCTGCAGTCTTTCTCCTGATTTGTAAAATTAAATAAAGCAAACTGCAGATTGACTGACAGGGCTCTGTCTTTGATTCCTGACATTCTTTTTAAGCGACAAATGTTGAAAGATATTTTTGAAACATTCTCCTTTCTCCAAAAAAAAAGAAGGACATAGAACAGGGGTAATTTAAGGAATTATATATAAATATAAATAGACAACAAATATAACTTTTATCATAGCTCAATTTAACTAAAGATATTTTATTTGTTTGTGTTTTTTTCACATCTGACATAATGTATTCAAGATATGTTAGGTACATTTTGTAAAAGGAATTTAATTGAAGGCACTTAAAATATTATGGAAATAGCTGCAGCTCTGAATTTCTTTGCTTGAAAATAATAACAACTAGAAAAGTGCTCAGATTTGTTCACTAATTGGGATTTACACCTGTAGATACACTTAAACAAGATCTGGATCATTACCAAATTCTAAAGAATTGTTCCTTTGGAATGAGGTATACCTGTGGTAACAATTTCTGTGTCAGCAGCCTCTGGTGTTTGTTCTGCTCTGACCTTCCTCATTCACTCTGCTTTGTTGTTTGATCAGCAGATGGAGACTTCAAGCGAGGCATGGCTCACCTTTACTGTGTTTTTGTCTTCAGTATAATACTTCTCGACTTTTTTGGGTCTGATGCTGAAGCTGTCAATAGTCACTGCTGCCAACCTATGGTTTAGGGGGGAAGTTCCGCCTAATAATGTTAAAGAATCGTTTAACATTATTTATTTCTGCATCCAGATTATTATGTGGATCATCAGCAAAATGACATGGGTTGTTCCTTGGACTGAGGTGAACCTTTTGTAAAAATGTCATTAAAATCTGGGTTAGCCTGTACTCACACATACAAATAAACAAACAAAATGAAACCAACTCCACTAAAAACATAACCTCCTTGGTGGAAGTAATAATGATCACTATGTGAAAGAGTGTTTGTTGTTAAAAAAATAAAATATTTCTAGTTTTTTTTTTTCTTTCATTCTTACTCTTTCAAACCTCTTTACATTCCTCTTCTGCTCATGTGGAACGCTCTGCCAATTACTCTGAGCACATAGAGCAACAAGCACTGCTCCCAGAAGTCAACAAAAATAATTGCCTTCACCTTGGAAAAATCTGCTGCTGGTAAATTGTGCCCATAATGGCTCAGCAAACATTTTCCATGCAGGTTTTTAAATTTACTGATGTTGAAAGTGGCTAAGTTGTAGTTGAGGCCTCCACATCATTATTTGTCATTACTTTAATACGAAACTGGTGGTTTGATTTGAGTAAGGGATGAGCAAATGGAAAGATTAAGCACAATAATGTCATTCGGAAACCCTCTAGTGTTGTTGGTCTTTTTGGTGACTCACCTGCAGTGAACAAATGAGAAGTACACAGAGAAAAATAAGAAAAAACAAAAAACTTGGAGAAAAGGAAGCAAAGGCCCAGGAAAGAATAATGAAATGCAGAGGACTGTGAGGGACAGGAAAAAAAAAAGTTGACTGTGGGACATTGAAGTTGGCAGAGGACAAAAATGAATTCTAGCATAATGACGAAAGAGGAGAGAAGATGTTAGAAAATTAAACAAGAAATGGAGATTCAAAGTAAGAAATGAATTTGGGCTAACTCTCATACAGTTATTTGAGGGGAGTATTTTTATCATTTAAGCCCATTTTTAACATATATCGTATAATCAAAACTTCTCCTTCACAGTGGATATTGGCCACTGTGGAAGCCCTTAAAGTTACCTTTGCCAACCATCTCAAAGTTCACTGATGCTTTTCTGTAAATCAGCTCATTGGTTTCGGTGCTTGTTGCAGAAGGAATTGTTCTTAAAGGGGAACGCCATTTTCTTTTACATTCGGCCCTTGATTTTACGCTATTACGTCATGTTCTACTGTTCCCAGCCACCTGTGGCCCGAGCTACTTCTCACAACAAAAGTCCGGCACGCGGATGACGTCATACACACTCTGCTTTGTTTTAAAAAACTATAATTATAAAAAATATAACCACAGATGTCTGGGGGACAATGATTCGCCTATATGTTATGAATGCTTGCGTACCATAAATGAGAAATTATGAACAGTTTAGTTTGTGCCTTCAGGTCGTTGCCCATAGGAAGACGTGGACATGATTTATTACTTGGATATAACCTATTGGAATATATACGGCACAGCTCCAAATGACACAAAACTCATATGGGTGAGTAGAACATGATGTAATAACATAAAATCAAGGGCCCAGTGTAAAAAAAAAAACTGGCGTTCCCCTTTAATGCTGTAATCATATCATGCTGGGAAGCAACTTGAGGCACCTTACTTAAGTTTTCTAGTCAATGTCAGCATTGACAAGCTGTCGGTTAAGCCATAATCTTATTTTTTGGTCTTGGGTCAGTGGTTATACCCTTCTGTTGTTCTTGCATTATTCTGGCTTTGTACCCAATATCAGGGGACTGATGTAGGCACCTCCATGCAACCTTGTGTCTTGGCTTCTGGATGACATGGCTTTGTACTGTATGTGTTGTGCCTCCTGGCATTCTAATTGTTGTTGTTGGTTGTTGAAACACTGAGCTGCAACCTCAGAATGTTGGTATTGAATCATCCATGTTTCCCAAAGTCATATAATCCCACTGGCTTGGTTTATTGGAGTAATACCATTCTAGTAGTGCGTTTTTTTGTTCTCATGTCCATTGTTTTCTTATTCTAGTAGCCCACATGTCACCCCAGTGTCCTGTTTCCTCGACAACAAATGATGTAGTTGTTGTTTGGTAAGGTGACACCTGAGCTGGTATGGTTCTATGTTTTTCTGCTATCATATCAGAGGTAAGGAGTTAGCCTTAGAGGACTTGTCCAAGGACCAATAATGGATGATCCTATAAGTCTGCTATTTATCCCCAAGATGTATAAACCCTTGCAGGAGTTCTCCTGCATGGGAGAGGAACAGGATGCACCCTGAATTGCTGACCAGGCCATAACAGTCCTGATGTGAAAGACCCCTGTGTGTCCTGATCAATTACTGCCCAAAAACCTTTCTCTCCACAATATGGAAGCTGGGGATCAAGCAACAAATGTAAGTGGGCACATGGATCAACACATGAGAGAGGCAGAGAAAGGCATTGGCTAAAACACCAGAGGAGTCAAATGAAAACTTGTGGTTTACAGAACAGTTGCCCAAAACTGCAAAACCATACAAACAAACCTATGCACACCCTGGGTTCATTTTAAGATAGCCAATGACACAATCCCACACATGGATCCTGGAATTCCTTTGGCAAAGTTACAGCTGACAAGTAAATATTTTACTCTTTCTAAATTAGACTAAATCAAAATAAAACAATGTTTTTTAAAGCAAAAATATAGCCTAATGAGAAAGAATGAATTTCAAAGAGCATATTTTTTTGTCATGTTTCCAGTTTCCCTTAAATATAAAATTTGCAACTTACTTTGCATACAGAGTCCATCAGTACAGTTCTGAGACTGGAGCACCAGACCCTCACAGTCCTTTCCACCATTTTTAGGGGCAGGGTTGTTGCACTCTCTCCTCCTGTACTGAGTGCACTCTGTCCCACAGGCTGACCACTTACTCCAGTCTGTCCACACTCCATCCACTATGCACGAATGAAAGGAGATAAAAAAAAAAAGCTAGTTTTAATTAAAAAAAAAAGAAGACAATGTAGAAAATGGTGCAGGTGTTACAGAAACCATTGCAACAATAAGCTCTGTTAATCTTTTCAACTAACACATTACAAACCTTAATCAAACAAAATCCAATTACCTGTGCACAGTGTGGTGCAGGGTAACTTCTGTATGCCCTGTCCATCACAAGGCAATCCTCCATTAAGAGGAGCAGGGTTAGTGCAGCTTCTGGTTCGTTTCTGGAAGCCTCGTCCACAGCGGCTATTACAAGGGGACCATTCTGTCCATGTCGACCAGCCTCCGTTTACTGCAGCAACAGAAATCAATCATAGATAAAATTCCCTTTAAAAAAGTCATTATAACCCCAATGTTTTTGGTCAAGTGAAGCCTAAATGGAAGAATATGTATGTATATATCTCTGTATATTTATGTATGCATGTATCCATTTATTACCTGTACTTCTCATATGCTGTCCCACTTGCCCCTCTATAATATTTTAAAATGGTCTTAATCCCTTCTTTCTAAAGTTTTAAGATGTGTTTTTTTTTTTGTTTGCTATTTCAATGGACTTCTTTTTATTCTGAAGTTTTACAAATTCTTTTTTTTTATATATTAATCATTGTCTTTGAAAATACACTCTTTTTATATCATTTTAAATTATTATTAACTGGAGATATGGAGATATTGAGAAGAGTCATAACTGAAAGCCTGTTGTTTCTAAGCTGGAGACCTTATTTCCCAAAAAAAAAATGAAGCGGATTTTCAGTTGCCCTGTTATGTTGACAGAGCTAATTTATAGGACTTAATGTTTGGAAACGACAGTTTCTTAAATATTGAATATTATATAATTTGTGTGACAGTTTTTTGGTTTAAAGAGACAAACATCTTTAAATTATATAAAACGGCATCATGAGCCAAATTAAAACCTATTGGAGCTAAACAAAAAAGGCAGTTTCACAGCTTGTAGAGGAAACAGCCTTGTAGTTAATTACATGAAGATTGAATTCTAGAACTATTGCTGTTTAAAGTTAAATGAATAGTTGTACCATGAAAAGTGTTTTTTTTTAACCACACTATTTAAGATTTATGAATGAAGAGACAAGGAGAATGTAATCCCTTATTACTTTTGTACCACCATACTGAAACATGTATGAAAACAAATGAACACTATCAAATCACACCGAAAACAACAATCTATTTCTTATAAATCAAAATTGTATTATTTTTTATGAAGCTTGTCTAATTTTTGTCTCATAAAATCAATATCTTGTGTGCTTTTGATTACTTGAATTTGCCTTTGTGGCTTATGGACAGTTAAGAAGACAAATATACGACAGAAAAAAAAAAAAAAGTAAAAATATGCCATAAAAAAAGTCCAAACACAAACAAACAGACCTTTAGAAAAGCAAAAAAGGGTGAGAAATGTTTTCCTAAAATATAATCACAATGCCTGAAAAAAAGGTAAAAAACAAAAAACAGCTTGTTTTGTTTTCCAACAGCTATACTTTGAATAGTAGTAGCTTGTGACATTGCAAGCTTCCCAAGGAATGGACAGACATACTCATTTAAGAAAAAATAACAATTTTTAAATCTCGAGTTAAAATCCATCGAAAAGAAAACCCAAGGATTTAATTATTAGTACTAGTTTTTCAAATATTTGCAAATACTAAAAACCATTAGTGCTGATTTTAAAAGAAACTAAGACAGATGTCAGATGTTTAAATATTTTTTTTTTCTTTTATGTATTTCACTTTCTCTTACAAAAGTTTGGTGAAACACTCTACTTCTTAGATGCACATAAACAAAAATAAATGTGTTAAATCAACCATTCAACATCTGTGGTTTCTAAGTCATTACCTTTACTTAACTAATAAAAGAATTTGTACATTCCAAATTAATTGTAGGTGGAACAAAACCCACAGACCTTCTGGCAAATTAGAATTACGTCTTCTGTTATAGTAAAACCAAGAGACAAAAAAAATCTCATAAGGGCGCACCCTTATAGGTTCATCCATTATTGTTTGTCCATCCAGGAAAAACAATGATTCACACACTCAGACCTACTGTAAGGAGAATTTAAGAGAAGCCAATTATCCTAATAGTAATGTTTTTGGACTGTGGTAGGAAGTCAGAGTACCCGGAGAGAACCCACGCATTCACATGGAGAACATGCAAACTCCATGGACCATCTTGCTACCCACTGTGTCACTGTGTAGCCTAATATACACATCCATATAAAATATTTCCAACATTACTAGTTTCCAACTTTAATTTTTATCACAGTTGATTTTTAAAGAACCACAGCACTGACAACGTATGAGACGGCCAGAAAGACCTAAATCACAAATAAATGTAAAAAGCAGGTAAAAGGTTTGCATGTGAGGTATTTTGGGCTAAGGTTGGAGATGCACAGCTCTGCCACTGCTTTCATAACGTGCCCACTCCTATTTTATGGTAAAAATTAAGCTTTAGGCTATCCAGTTAATTCAGACAGAGGCACTTTTTGCATGTATTGTCAGAAAGATTCTCTTTGCAACTTCTCTTCTTACCTGTTTCCCTTTTAACCATTTCTGCTTCACTCTCCCACCCCTTTCTTATGTTCCCGAGTTATTTCTATTTTATCTTGTCAACATTGTCAGACAAGCCCGTACGGAGGCAAGAAAATTGAACCACAGATTGAACAATCTATTTCTGTAAGGATACATCAGTGTCAAACCTCCATCTATTGTTGTCTGTATAGAGCAGAAGCAGACGCAGTTATTTTGACTGAAACACACCAGAATAAAGTTAGTGTAACATTTGAGAGACACACTCAGCATGTGCATTTGTTTATATCTGTTTTGTGTCTCTTATGAAAGACTANTGTGTATTAGTTTTTTGTCTCTTATGAAAGACTAGCATTTGGAGAAAGAAAGAGCAGGGAATGTTTTACTTCAAAAATTCCTAAGTAAAAACAGCTCTTGGAAAACAAGACCAACCAACAGCATAAATGATTTGGGACATTTTGTTCAGCACTGTATCATTAGTTTCTTCTTGTTGTTTACCCACATCTTTTACAGGGCACACGGCATTTAAAGGTGCGTCCTTTGCAAAAAAATTGAAAATCATGACTTTTTAAATTAAAAACAAAATGAGGGACTAGAGTGTTTTTTGACAGGGACAGTGCTGCGATTTTTATTTATCTTACAGATAGAGAGCTAAATAAAATTAAGAACAAATAACAGATACTACCAAAACCCCCAGTGGCCGTCAATTTGACAAGTGGCATTTTTCCCAATGGAATGGATGTGTAGTGATGATGTCTTGAACTGAGATGGTTCTGGAGTGCAATATAAACGCATTGTGGATATGTAGACCTTAAAACAGGTCTAATATATATATTTTTAAAGCCTGTATTGTATGCTATTATTATTTTTGGTCTAAATTTGTACTAAAAATAAATAAGTAAAATAAGACTGTTTTAATACACAGGTTAAAAATTTGAAATTACAGTTTTATTCACAGAAATCAATTGATTACATTACTTTTGAGCGTCACTATATGGCCCATGTACCGATTAAATGCGTAATGTAAAATTTTTTTTCCCAAGTTAAGAGGACTGCGGCAACCAGCGGAGCTCTGAGACCAGCGCCAGCGAGGTCTAATCTTTGCCTGTCTGCAGCAGCCGTCTCTTGGCATAGCCTTGCGTGAAGGACCGCTGGTTATGATGATGATACCATTGTTTTATTTGGCAAAATTTTTATTTGATTTGTATATATTTGACTGTCTTAATTATTATTCCCCCACTAAATGTAAAAAGTCACAATTTATTATTATCAAAGACTATTAATAACAGGAGGTGAACAGCAGCTGCAGACTAGCCGAGCATGTGGTGATGTCATCAGTACTCTTCTGTTCCAAATGACCCATATTTATGCTGCGTGCTTCCGTTCTCCCCAAGTTCACACTTTTCTGTTTTCTTCTCAAGAACATACTTGGCAAGGACACAAGTCGGTACTTGCATCCTTGTGACTTGAGAAATGGCCAACAATTCCCTCTCCAACTATACACCTGTAACGGTCACCACTGCTCTGCAGAGATTCTTATTTCAACCGTTGCATATATTAGCTGCGACATATGAATTAAGATTCTATGGCAAAAAAAAATTGATTGAAAGATGAGCGTTGATATATGATTGGCGGAATTTAGGTGTTCAGGCTGACGTATAATTAACTGGCCGACATAGGATAACAGAAAAAAAAAAAACAGATTTTAAGACAGGATTTCATTTGAAAATAGAAATTTTCTCAATTTTGGGACAAAATCGTCTGATAAAGAATACATTTTTAAGCCAGAATGATTTGACATTTAAAAATGATTTCCCTACGACTTTAAGTTCTTTCCCTTTATAATCTCAGAACCATTAAAATGACGGCCTTGGTAGTTCTAGAGTTAAGGCAGCAGGCAAATGAAATGTGACATGTGAAAAAAAGATCTAAAACTGTGGGAACTACTTTTTATACAGTTTTTAGTGAACCACATACAATATGTATCAATACAGGCAGGCACACTTACCATACACAATAACAGTGGCTGTAGTACTTCTTCTTTTGGCCACAATGTTCTTAGCTACACATGTATAGTTGGCTGTGTCAGACAGACGTGCTTGTTTAATGATCAGGTTGTGGTCAATGGTGATATAAAAATTTCTGTCCTCTGCTGGGTCGATTATCTCTTCATTCTTTAACCACTCCACCTGTGACAAAGAGAAAACACAAACCTCTGTGTAAAGAGTTAACATAATAAACAGACAAGAGCAGGTAAAATTGGGCCAATGGAAAAATTTGTTTCACGATTAAAATTTGTTGGAGACATCAATTATCTATTAGGATAATGAAGCTGAACAAACACTTATAACACATGTCTCTAGAAACATTGGACTTAGGTCCAGTTTATTTTCCTCTCTTACGATAAATAAACATACATTAAATGTAAACAGGATTATCCAAAGATGAATATAAATAGAGCTGTAAAAAGAGCAATTTAATGTTTAGTACATATTCAATATATACAATAATAGAAAAATACTGCCGGTATGCTCACTTATACAGTACCTACATTACTTAGGATTCATATTTCTGTTTTTGGCTCATAAAAGCTAAACCCCAGATCTCAAAACAGTCACTAAATATGAAAGGATAACCTGTTTTAAGCTTTAATTAAGTGATCTCCATAATTTTAATTTGATGTGCTTTATATCAGACTTACATTTACCTGTATAATCCAAAACTATATCTAAAAAGGTTAGGTTTAATCTCCTACTAACTACTACTGAACAAACGGAATATTATGTAAATCAATTTAGCATTTATCCAAGCTATCTTCGAGATACAGCGCAGACAGATATTGTTTTCATTCTTCTTCAAATCACAGGGGAGCTGCCAGCCTGACATGGTGGGGTTGTTTGAGTGCCCGATGATCCTAGGAGCTATGTTGCCCCTGGTAGGGTCTCCCATGGCAAAAAGGTCCTAGGTGACAGGCCAGACTAAGAGCAGCTTATAAGACCCTTATCGATACAATCAAACCAAGGACCGTGACGCCATCCGGTATGGCGCAGCTGAGGCCACACCCTGGAGCCAGGGCTGGGGTTGGGACTTCTCAAGCTTTGCCCCAGGGGAGAGGCGGCGAGCTGTGGTGGCCTTGCTCAATGCCCCCCCCCCATCTCTGTCGACACGTGTCACCCCGGTGAACAAGGGGGTCGTGTCCCTGTGCCTGCGGGTTGGAGACAGGCCTCTCACCACTGTCTGGCCTATGGGCCCAGCATCGGTGCGGAGTGACCCGCCTACATGGTGCTAAAACTGGGGATTCCATTGTTCTACTGGGGGACAGTAAGACCTGGACTGGGGTGATTGGTAGATACTGCCTCCCCAATCTGAATCTGAGTGGTGTACTTTTATTGGACTCCTCTGCTAATCACAGTCTGTCTAGAACGAACACCATGTTCAAGCAGAGGGCGTCCATCAGTGCACATGGCACCAGGACACCCTAGGTCGGAGGTCGATGATCGACTTTGTAGTTGTGTCATCTGATCTCTGGTTGCGTGTCTCGGACACTCATGTGAAGAGAGGGGCTGAGCTGTTAACTGATCACCACCTGGTGGTGAGCTAGATCCGCTGGCAGGGGAGGAAGCCGGTCAGACCTGGCAGGCCTAAGTGTGTTGTGATGGTCTGTTGGGAATGTCTGGTGGATCCTTCTGTTAGTGCGGTCTTAAACTCCCACCTCCGAATGAGTTTCTCCCAGATCCCAAAGGAGGTTGGAGACATGGAGTCGAAGAGGTCCATGTTTGCCTCCTTTATTGTCAATACGGCCGTTTGTAGCTGTGGCAGAAAGGTCTCTGGTGCATATCGCGGAGGCAATCCCTGAACCTGGTGATGGCTCCTGGAAGTAAGGGATGCGTCAAGCGGAAGAAGAAGGCATACCTGGACTTGTTAGCTAGTGGTACTCCGGAGTCAGCTGAGTCTCAGAGGCAAAATCTCGGGTCTGGGAGGAAAGGCCATGGAGGGGGACTATTGGTCCGCCTCAAAAGTGTTCTGGAAAACTGTCCCCCGCCTTAGGAATGGGTGGGGAGCTGCTGATCTCAACTGGGGATATTGTTGGGCGGTGGAAGGCTGAGGCTGGGGACTTAGAGGAGGACTCGCCCATCAGTCAGGCTGAAGTCACTGGGATAGTTAGAAAGCCTCTCAGTGGCAGGGCCCGGGGGGTGGATGAGATTTGTACCGTAAGTATCTGGATGTTGTAGGACTGGCTTGGCTGAAGTCGCAGTGGTATCATGTGGCAGTCGGGGACAGTACCCCTGGATTGGCAGACCGGGCTGGTGGTCCCTCAATTTAAAAAGGGGGACTGGAAAAAGGGGTTCTTTTAGCCAGGACCCTTTGACGTGTACTGGGGCGGTTTGCAGCCAAGAGTGAAGCAATCGGGATGGTTCTCCACCCGAGAAAGGTGGACTCCCCTCTTCAGATTGGTGGAGAGTCCTTGTCTGAAGTGGAGGATTTACGGATGGAGCACGAGATTGATAGACAGATCCGTGCAGCGTCGGCAGTGATGCGGTCACTGTATCGGACTTTAGTGTTGAAGAGGGAGCTGAGTAGGGGGGCAAAGCTCTCGATTTACCAATCGATCTTCGTTTCCACTCTCACTTATGTTCAGGAGATCTGAGTAAGGACCGAAAGGACAAGATCGTGAATACAAGCAGCCGAAATTAGTTTCGTTCGCAGGGTGGCTGGGTGCACCCTTCGAGATTGGGTGAGGAGCTCAGTTACCCAAGAGGAGCTTGGAGTAGAGTTGTTGCTCCTCCACATCGAAAGGATCCAGCTGAGGTGGCTTGGGTACCAGAACAGCTCGAGGAAGTGTGTTTTGATCAGGAAGTCTGGGAATCTCTGCTTAGACTGCTATCTCTGTGACCCGGCCCCGGATAAAGCAGAGGAAAATGAATGGATGGATGGATCTTTACCTGACAGGAGATGAGGACCAAATGGATTGATACAAAATAGAACAGAAAAAGTAAAAAAAAAAATCCTTTTTAAATGTGACATTACAAATTAAACGTTTAAAAGCTTTATTGTGAATAAAGATATATATATATATATATATATATATATATATATATATATATATATATATATATATAAATATTTAATGATGTTTTTGAAATCTTGGATAACTAAACTTTTAAAATAAGTGAGCAAAAAATAAATGCTAGGATTTTGAATTGGGATTTGAGATTGTACTGAATGGATTTATGATTATGTTTTAAATATGTCAAGTTACAAAAAAATGATTATCTCACACTGCAAAATGAAAATAAGTGTTAAGGGTTTATATGTATTTTGAATGACCTCTAAATGAAAAAATAATAATAATAATAATAATTTTAAGGAACTTATTAGCAAACCTGTATCTTAAAAACTAACACGATGGACTCCCAAAGCTTCCAGAAAGTTAATCTTCTGCTTATTGCAGTCGCTCTAGCCATTTTAGGTTGAGATGGCTACTTCATTTAACTACTCTGTAGAAATAACCTCTTCATCAATTTCCTAGCATACAACAATGGGATTTTGATAACCTGTGTGCTCCAGGATCCCCCTGATGAAATAAATATTTGCCCTGTTGGCTATAAACAATACCAGGCCAAAATAATGCCAGCTTTTACTATCTTTCAGATTTCGCTGTATCAGAGTCACCAGCAGAGAAAGCGGGTTCACTTCACTCATTTCCATAAATCTCACAGTGAGAATCGTGTTGAATTGTCATCAAGATCTCCTCTAAAGAATGATTGCTTGCTAAGTTAACTTTGCTATTTTACCTAAAAGTTTTTAAAGCGTACAAAGAGCTTGCTTAATAATTCTGGCAATTTCCAAGGAAAGTATTTCTCCTAGTGTGATGTTTTGGATCAATATATTTTAATGAAACACACTGGCCTAATGTTGTGTTCCTTTTCAGATCTTTTCTTCATAATCATTGCAGTCAATAAAACCAAATATTGTGATCAAATCTCAAATCTATTGCATATAATGATGATCATTTATGTGTAGGTTATTTTGTGTGCTGACTTAGAACTGGGCCATTCCTACACATGAAAATGCTATGATCTAAACCTGTCTCTACAGCTACTGCTGACGGTTCTTGACACTGTCCTCTGGAACTTTGAACCTCTGCTCGAGTCTCAACTCTTTTAGCCACTTATAAATATCTTTCTAAGGTTATCCTTTATCCTAACCTAACCTGGTAACCAGATTGATAATAAGGATTTCTCATGTGTTTTTTTTATTGCGGACAAAAAGGGGGGAAAAAAAACAAAAACGTTTTTTTTTTTTTTTATACAGGTATCATTCGTCCAATCATTCCTCAATTTGAAATCATCAATGGTAATATCACAAAACTTTTTTTTATTAAACTATATAGAAAAACAGAAAGTAGGCCTAGTTACTATTTTAATTGATTGTTTTTTTCTACAAACACATGAAGAAAACAAGCTTATAAATAATTCTTTTCAAAAACAGTTTCAAAATAGAGACATGAAAAAAGGTATACTGACAAGAGATGAGAGGTGGGTACATTTATCACTCTACTTCACAGTTCCATAACTAAAAAAATCAGCATGTTGCTTTTGGAGACAATGTGGAATTCTAGAGCTAAAGTAATATGAAATGCTTTGAACATATGCTTTCACAAGGTGCTTTGGGTGAAGGGTAAGACAGGGGTAAACTACTCTATTTATGAGCCTAATCACATATTCTGAGTGCTGTATTTACTGGTCCAAACCCTCATAAATTCACCTTATTCAGTCTTTATTGCAGGAACATAAAAGTCCTGGCTCTGCTGTTTAATTCATCTCATTTAATTTTCTCCTCCTTTCACATTAGGAAATGGAAATTTGGATGCAGAATTTGTTATTTTTTAGATTAGTTTTTGCTGAGGATTTTAAGCTTTTACCTCTCAGTTATTCTATCTGCTTTTTTCTGTGAAGTTCTGGTAGAACACTTAAGTGATAAAGATCATCGCAGGCTAGATTTGTCAGTACGAAATAAGTTGGAATGTGACCTTCAAGCGATTAGTTAAGTATTTCTTAAAAGTAAGAAAAGGGGAAACTATTTAATAGAACATAAAAGATGCAACAAATTTTCTTGATTAATGTCTTGTTGTTTAAAGTGATGAAGATCTTGATATTTTATTCATGTTTGTTGAACTAAAATAATA